TGAAGGTATTTTATCCATGTAGGTTCCTTTAAATTATGATCGTACATTTTTAGTAACGTTAATGTCTTGTCTGTTCTCTAAGGTACTCTCTTGGAAGGTCCATGGAGTTATCGATTGACCTATTTAAGCATTACACTACCACTTTACTCGATGATATTGCTACTTGTCGGCACTATTGCTGGACGTCATGCATTCTTTAAAACAATTGTGGTTAGGATGTGGGGTAGACTAATCCCAAAGCGACTAATTAACGCAGTAAGAAGGCAAGGATAATTTCATTAAATACGTCATTTTTTTTTCATGCATTTATCACTGGATGTGTGTTTCGAACCACAAAAAACCCCTCGTTATTAATAATCTTTCGTCCCCAAAAGATAAAACAATAAATAATTTGTATTTTTGTGTGACCGGTGATGGGGGATAATTTTATTGCTATGTAAGTGAAATGAGGAATAGTGAGGAGAGAAAGGGTTTAAATAAGATAAAAATATCTTTCTTGCTAAAAATTATACAAAGATACATGATGATTAAATAAACGAAACTTTTTTCGATAAAAGAATCGCAATTCCCGATATCCCATCGGGAATTCCAACTAAATTTGTAATTGGATAATTGTAAAATTATAATATAAACAAAGGAAGAATAGAAATACAAGAGATTAGATGTGTATAAAAGTTTTTTTCTAATGAAAGGAGTTATTAATGGTGAAATCGAATGTGGTTCACATCATAATGTTTGTTAATATCGTAGTGTTGGTTTTATAGTTTTTTTGGTATTATATGTACGCGTAGATGTGGGTGTACGGTGAATTATTTTTTTTTTCATACACCTCCTCTTTTTACATTATATTACATTTAGGTTTGTCGCTTATCATGCCTTTTGGTCTAGCAGCTATGCTGACTCGTGCTGCTTGTTCGAATGCTTCTTTTACCCCTAATTAATTAACAATACAATCAAAGAATTATCATTAGTACCGATCAATAATTATTATTAATCCCCGATTAGGATTGTTGAGAAGGGGGGAAGGGGAATCTCTCATTACCTCGATCATGTTTTGCCGAACATTCCAAGTATCGGGAGGCTTTGATATTTTTCGCAACAGTTAAGCCCTAAGTATAGAACGAAACGTCATGATTAAAAAGAGTCAATCAAAAAAAAGGTACCGTTAATATAATTGAGATTTACCTCTTGAAATGTGATCGGTTGTTGTCCAAACTTTGCCAAGTGTCGTTTAGTGTTATCATCTTCCCTCAGATCACATTTTAACGCAACCAAAACAATTTTAACACCCGGGCAATGTTCCAGTATTTCAACCATCCATTTAGATGCTACATTCTCTAATGAATTACGATTGTCTACCGAATAACATAGCATGATTACGTGTGTGTCTGCATAGGAGAGTGCACGAAGTCTGTCAAATTCTTCCTGACCTTTATTGAACGGGATAAAGGGCGAAGCAAGGGTTAGACTTTTAAAATTCGAGAAGTTGGTTAAGTATTATAAAAGGCAATATCAATGTTATTTACCGGCAGTGTCCCATAACGATAGTTCAATTTGTTGATTGTCGACCCATATGTCATGCACATGATTCTCAAACACCGTTGGTTCATATACCTATCATGTAAAGTTATTTTGCGTTGGAAAAGTTTTAGAAATCAGAGAACTAAATAAAGCATACGAAAATCATGTTAACCCAAAATTAAGCCTGACCTGTGGAAAATATCCTCTCGTAAAGACGTTCAATAAAGAAGTCTTTCCGCACGCACCATCACCTAACACCACTAATTTACGGTATAATAGATTTTTTCTGCCAAGACAAAATTTACTCATTTTTTTTTTTTTTGGGGATTTTTCACGTCAATTTATAAACGTTCACGTTTCTCTTTGCGGTGATAATTAAGAAGAATACGTAAAAGTTACAAGCTCTTCTATCACTCAGCTGCACTAAATATAGATTAAAAATACTTGTGCAAGTGTAGACGAGCAAGCGCGTGTGTATGTATGTGGTGTGAATATGTATATGTAAGGCGAGTATGAAAGTATGTATATGTAAAAGTGTGAGAGTATTTATTAGCGTTAAGGCGGTTAAATTTAGTCCTTGAATAAGTTTTTCTGTTGTTTATCTCGAACAAACAAACATAAAAAAAATCAATTTGACAGAAAAAGTAACTAGGAAATACTGGGAAATAGAGACTGTGGGTTTTTTGTTTTTTTTGTTCTTTGTTATAAGCTTTGGTTTATATACTGTATGTAGTGATCAGCGGTGTAAGTACAAACTTTGGTCAATCAAATTTCTCGTTTCCCATTCTCTCGTTCCATTTCAAAAATAAATTTGTCGTTATTGCCGTAGTAACTGTGGTAACGGGCAAGTTGATAGCCTTATTAGGATTAATCGGAAAAAAAAAATTCTGCACCTTTCATTATTGTCACTCCCCAATTGGGATCTTTTTGTCTGCAGTAAAAATATAAATAGTAATCATATCTAAAGGTAGCTTCTACATAATAGCCGAAATCTGCTGAAGTAAAATCTACCCGGAATTGTAGAATCTACTACGGAATTTTGGCATTTTCTCTTGGCAAGTTTTTATTATTTATGAAATGAACTTATTCCAAATTCTTATTCACGAAATGAACTTATTTCAAATTCTCGTCAGCTTTATTCAGTTTCCATTCTTGGTTATATGAAACTATAAATGTAACTTTGCCAACCAATCTTGTTTACATGTGAAAGCAAGAAGTGCATTTGTTAGGCCCCTCACCCCAATGCAAAGTAGTACAATTCAAACCCAATTGCGATTGAGAAATAATCATTTTAATTTGGTTTTAAATGGATAAAGTTCAAAGAAAATTGCCTCAATTTTAGATTTCGATCTTTTTTATCTGCAGAACGCTATCATCAAAAATGATTTTTCAAACAGGTCGCGAAATCCATCTGTTTTCTCAAACATCATCTAAAGAAAAAAAGCAACTAAAAAGAAGCAACTACGGTCTCGTCTTTGAATTAAATAAAGAATGTTATTCCGAATATATTAAAGTTACTTCCCAGTGAGTTTCAAGTTTTCCCTTTATGTTTTCACATATGCGTCGGCTATTTCTTGTAATTAAGTTTCTCAAATCATTGTTCTGGAGCAACGAAAACTGCTTCAAAATCTTCCAATATTTTTGTGTTCTAGGGGACGTGCCATTTATTACTTGATTTACAATGGGTCAGTTGATCTCCTTAATGGCCTATATGACTTTTTATGACCTGACATGAACATTAATATGAAACTTATGACCAATGTCATATATAAAAAAATGTTAACAAAACTGATCACGCATAAACAGGTGAAATTATTAGTTGAAGAATTATTACTACGTCCCTAACCGAACTGTCTGTCTTTTCCTCCAAATCATCTCTTGTTTTTATATCCTCATCTTCTCCGCTTATCTAATCAGTTTTTCATTCTTCTCGGTAAATTCCTTAAATGTTTTGACACATAAAGTTGGAGATTTTCACGGATTTCTCTCTCCTTTTTGATGGGCGAGTTATTTGTTCTCCGAGGTCAGGCGGCCGATCGGTATACACACTTCGTTTTATGGTAGATCCCAATTTCAACCACTGTCAGCATTGTGAGTGTTGTGTAATTGCCGCAGACACATTTTCTATGTCACAGGTGTCATTAAAATTATCTCGTACATTCCCTTCCCCTACTATGTCTCAACTGTCCAATTATGTCCTTGTCCCATAACAACATTGGCCGGAACTTGCTCAAAAAAAGATTCATTCATTTTTTAAGGATAAGCTAAGATTTACCGTAGAATAATTGATCCTGTGTGTTTTACATACTCATCCAATATTTTGTCGGATCTGTCACTTTGAAACATATCTCAAAATCCAGTGAACCATTTAAATGAAGATATTCCCCATAAGATTCGTATATTCGAGACAAATCTAATGGGGATATCTTCATTTAAATGGGATCGCTGGATTTTGAGATATTTGGTTTCAAAGTGACAGATTGATTCGCTTTTGGGATTTCCGGTAATATCTTGCAGGGGTGCATTAGACTTGTTTAATTAAAATTCCGAACCCTCGTTATAGTAAATTTTTCCGGACTACCGTAAAAGTCCGAAAATAAGCTATCCTTTTTACAAGTTTTAAGAAGTTTTAAGCTTGGAAAATGAGGAAATAATTTATCTTCAGGTATAGGTTAATATATATTTCACATAACAAATGACTTCCAAAACACGGGAGATAGCTATTTTCGGGGTAGCTTATTTTCGGACTTTTATATGGTATTATAAACTGGATTTATTCTAAAGAGAATTTATTTGTAATAAGATGACTTATTATAACGAGGTTTGAGTGTAAATAATACAGTTTTATTCGAAGCTATGCTAATTTTCATCTAAATTTAAATTTTTTAGTAATTACGTATTGAACTTCCTAAATTTCGTGTATTTGCTATAATTTTTTTAAACTTGGTGATATTTATGTTATGACAGTCAGACCTACCTAAATGCAAGCTCAAACTCTGGCCCAAATATATACTTGACTTTCATAAATGCAAATTTTCTTATTTTTCTCTAAATGCACGGAGGTTGGTACGAGCAAGTTGCATTTAGGGAGATCTGAGTGTATTTTTAGAATATATTGAATTCAATATATTTAATACAAAATTAGGGCAAATAAATTTTGAAATTATCCTAGATTTCGGAATATTTTGCTGAAATTATGATGATTTTGGTATATTTTATGAAATTATGCATGTTTAGTGAACTTAAGCTGATATTTGTCTAATTTTCAATGCATTTCTTAAAAATATAGTTAACATTCAGTCGTATCTCTACGAGAACATGCTATACAAGAACGAATTCATAATATGAAATTTCCCTCTATATAAGAGCCTGACTGTATTTTGTTGAAAATATGATAGCTATGTTTGTCTATTATTCCTCGAAGCATTTTGTAAGTTGTATTGAAATATGCCTGAAATTCGTTATATTTTGAAATTTGTTGTTTTAAAATCCTGTTATTACCAAAAAAAAAGGTCATATAAGTGTGCATTTTAGAAAAGTATCTATTTGTCGCATAAAATACCTCCTCTCTGCCTTTCTAGGGGTGGTTTATGTGTCAAAATAATGCTAGTAAACTTATGAATTATGCTTAAATTTGTTGTATTTTGTAGAAAATACGCTGCTTTTGCGACAAATTTTGTCAAACCATTTCAAATATCAACTTCTGCTGTATATTTTATTGAAACATGCAGTTTGCCCAGATTCGGTTTGATTGTTTTTGCTTGAATGAATCAATTATAGATTAAGGTTAATTTTTTGGCAGGATTCAATCCCTACACACCATTACGTATAAATTAGTTTTTTTTAAAGACAAAGATGAAAGTAAAATTCAATTAAGTCTATAAAATTTAGTAAGAGAATAGAATTCGATTAATGAAAAATTCGAAATCGAATGATCTTTGGTAAAATGTTAGAAAATTGAATTTTATTATTTGAAACAAAAATCGACAATTGCGCCGATATTCTATCATAGAAGTCTGACTTGAACAATGAATCCATAAGAATCTTCCGAGATACAAACAGGGCTTCAATAAATTTTACTTTTTAGAATTACGCCAATAAAATTCTAATGATAATCATTCGATGCCTATTTTCACGTAATTAAGCATAATTCGTAACGGTAAACTCATTGTAAAATCAAATTTTGTACTTGTACTATGTAGGATTCTGTCAAACACGATTTGGAATTGTTAAACGAATGTTCAGTGAAAATTTTATTAGAGCTTTTCTTTTTTTGGATTTATACTGTTTCAACCGGAATTTTAGCCTTTTTTATATACGGTATGAATGCTAATGTCACACTTGTTGCCGGAATTAGCCAAGAATTTTTTACACAAGACAGAGTGTAGAGGTGCCAATCTAGATTCTAGACCTGTATTCGCTATAATTTCTATTTATTTACCCGGAATAAACGAGATTTTTTTTGATGTGCTATAGTAGCCGGCCGAGATTATCATTGTTCTATTCACTTACTAAAACAGAAACACAAAAACGTGAAAGAGGAACATGCGAGATAAAATATAAACGTGTGAAAAATAAATAGGCGTAAATCGTTAACAAATAAAGAAAATCATTGTAATAAACGCACGCAATATTTTATTATCTAAATAGCATCAATCAGTAATTCCTGTTTTGTTTAATATATATTTGATTACGAATGTTACCATATTTGATGGTGGATTAAAAAGATTTTTTCTGCATAAAAAAAATCCATACTCGCAAACTTAAGATTAACCACGAAATTTGAAAGAATTATTTGTGACAATTTTTCTCAAAAAACAAAATCAAAAAGAACATCAATTGCGCATGTGTGATACTGCTTTATCCTTAGTGGATTCGATAACAGAAAACTTGTTGTATCTTGCACTGTGTCACCAAGTATGCGATTAATCTTGATTATTTGCTATTTTTCACTTATCATTAAATTCGTTTCACAAAGACAAATAAGAAACAACATTCGATTTTTTTAGTTTACATAATTTTACATAATATTATCATGTGCTTAAATTCATACATTTGCGCCAATAGAAATTAATTCCGCTTCATGTAGACTTTTGTGTTATTTTATATTTTATACTTGGATAAAATTCTCTTGACGTCATATATATATATACGCTTATTTGTATTGTTTAAAGGGAGACCAAAACGTTTCAGAGCTTGAAATGTTAAAAAATAGAATTTTATTTGAATGATGCTCTATAAATTAATTACGCAATATGTTCGATTTAATTTAAAATACATGATATCAACATGTCAATCCACCAACCCTATAGCTGACAATAATTTGAAATCTTACTACCTTACTGTTACTATCAAACTGCTTAATTTAATTCTATAAAAAAAATTCATGATTCTATAAAAAAAATTTCATGTTGAAATTTAGGCATTTATTAATAATTCTGTTCCACGCACCGGTTGATTTGTTCTAATTTTAGCCACCTGCCCCCCTTTGAAACAAAACATTACGCCAAACCAAGTAACAGAGTATTGTCTCGACAGGTCTCAGAGGAGTTTCGGGACCACCAACCAACTGTAACAAAATTAGATTTTTGCAATTGTTTATGGCATGTGATTAGTCACGGGATTCTTATTATTGTTCATACTGGTTTCCAAATAAATGCGGCACACCCTCAATCGTTAAATGCATATCTTCTATTAATGCACGCAAATTGACATAAAATGATTGCGAATATTGATAACTCTGTTGATAAATGAGAATATTATGTATTTAGGATTGTTTTTTCGTACCCTGTAAATCATTGCTATTCCTATATACGAAAATAAAAAATCATTAATTCCTTTAAAGCTATAACGATAATAATTGAAATCCATTATCTTTGGGGTGCAGTGATGTCCACAGGATATTTTCTATAATGTGTGATTTGGGTTTCAAAACAGCCTAAATAAATCTAAAAAAAATAACCTATTTTCTCTCTATGTAAATCCGAATTTTATTTAATTAATCTCCTACTCATCCTAGACTAAAGATAGAAAACAAAAGAGGAAATGAAGCATATGATTACACAAAAACCAATTGACGTGATATTAAACTGGGATTTTAGACTTTTATTTTTAATCAACTTAAAATCCTTATATGGCATCAATTAATGCAAATAAATACACAGAATTAATATTTTATCATTCGGAATATTTTTCAATTGTACGGTCTTCTATATTCGAATAAAAAGAAAAAGATGACGCGAGATGAAGTGTATAGTAACAGAGATAAAAATAGAAGGCTTTTATGCATGATTGGTTCTCTTTCTTTTTTTTTCTTGGTGTTATATTCAGAAATGAAAACGTTAAATTAATTTGTTTGTGAGGATTTTTAAATGAAGTGTCAAACACCAACCAAATAAATCGACTGATACACAAATATATATTGAATTATGATCTATTATTATTTTTTTAGACTGTTTGTAATGATTCTCGAAAGATAAAGTGGTTAATTTTTGCCTTTTTCGGATACCAAAATCAAACATCGAAATTTTGATTTAATTAAGATAACCAACCATGTTTATAAGAGACATCCTTGTTGTATAGTTTCAGCCACTACTAAGTGGACGAAGAAGAGAAAAGTTTCAATAATTAAATGAGCTTGGAACGGAGTTTAAGAGGATATCACATGATTTCTAAAAATAAGAATGCCTGCTACGTCCCCGCCACATAAGAAATGAATATGTGTCAAGTCACAGCAACCAATAAGGACAAAGGATGAGTACATAATTCTCTTGAAGTTACTTCTTTTATTTTTCTGATTACTCACGTGCTGTGGCTTAACTTGCCACACATGCACTATTCATTGATAAAATGAGATTTAACGGCCGATGATAAAAAACATTCATCATCAAATGATAGCGATTATTTATACACGTGATTATTGAGTATACGAAAATAATTAAATTTACCTAAATCAAATTTTTATTAGTTAAACGTTATTCTGCGGTTGGCTGTAAGTGAAATATAAATATTTTAGATCTTATTTCTATATTTGGCTTATAAACTGATTAATTACTGTGATTCTTGTTTTTTCGCCACAAATATTTCACAAATGGTATTTCAATTTAATTTAATTTAATTTAATTGAAAAAGGACAACAACAAAAAAACTTCGTTAAATACGATTATGTCAATCTTATTGGAGAAGGTATGTAAATCGTATGAAAATTGATTGGTTCTAAAATATTAAATATTAAATTTATGAAAGATTACATGATATCAAAAAAAAACAAAGATACTATAAGGAACAAAGATACGCTTGGTGGCGCATATGTTTTTCTCAAAATGAAATGATAAGCAATTGACTCGATATCAAACTTTATTATTGATCTTATTTGTCGTCAAGAACAATGAATCTCTATTTGGGATACATTATAGAGACTTGGTAATTTACGCGTAAAATAAGATTTGTTTCTTTGATGCTTTTGGATCTCTCTAAAGTGCTAACTGTAATTAACGAATAATGAGGTGCATAGGAATTAGTCCAAATTAATGTTTTTTAATTTAATTAAATTTTCATTTATTGTTAAATGTTTTTACGTTGTTGTTCTAATTCATGTTTTCGCGTGTTCTGCTATGACTTATTGTCATATTCTAAAAATAAAACATGTCACCGAAAATGAGACGCGGGGTCCTAGAAATAGAAATCGCGTCACTTTTTGCACGGAAAAAAATCTAGAAGACGCGCATCTCATGAACACAGCATTCAAAGTTCTCGATTCTGCATCTCGTGGCGGGTGTCACGTTAATAATGATGAACATAGCATCATTTTTTTTTTAACTTCATCGGTCATGTAACATGGGAAGATAGACATTAACCGAGAATCCATCAGTGGCTAATTCAATTCAGTTGTAACGTCACACAGACTCTACACACGATAATCTGCACTATTTATTGTAATATTAAGAGGGTTTTTTTAATATATTAACATATACGTATAAAAATTTATTGTACTATTAATAATTGAATAATAATGATGTCTTTTTTTCAACGTTGTATAATGTGCGTGCGTTACAGTATAAAATACTAACCAAATAACTGAGCATAGACACGAAAAAATATTTAGAACGAGTAGAAAGAGATCCCTCGCATTTCTTTACTTTATAAACAAACGCAAAAAAAGTATAAAGCATCAAGAATTCGTCTTCTCGCCACATTTGAATTGCTTTTTGCATCTCAGGATCTATATTATCTAATATTTGTCCCTTTCTCTCTCTGGCGGTATACTCAATCACACCGTATATTTTATAATATACCTTACATAACCTATCCTACCAGCACAAAAAACTCGAATCATCGATATAGAATATCACATATACAAAATAAAAACACGACAATAACAACAACGACAACGACAATAATAATAGCAAAAACAAAAAACAGCTGATCTCAAAAAAAAGATATTATTATAATCAACGATATCGCGAAAAAAAAAGATAAAGAAAGCTGTGCTTAAAAAAAAAGAACCATTTCAATTTTTTTTCTACTTCATACCCTTTCTCTAAACGTGCATTATTATTTTACTGCTCGGATAATGGTCACTGATTGTTCTCATTAATAGATAAGAATAATAAAAATAATACCGATACTACTATTATTTTTATTTAAAATCGTTTCTGTTTTTATACAACCATTCAACATCCAATACAAAATTTCAAATTTAATCGTTTTATATTTTATATTATCACATTATATATTTTAAATTCCTTATAAGATAACAAATAAAGTTCGTGCAGCTTTACCATCCAAAACAACACAACATAATAACACGGCGGCTACATTAGTGCACGACACTTTTACGCACACGCACGCATTCTATCTAATATTCCCTTTTTAATCTATACTCTCTCTCTTTGTGTGTGTGTGTATATATATATATATAGCTCTCTCAGACTGTTTTCGCAATTCGAAATACTCGAACTCTTCGTTTTTTTTTAGATTTTGGCGACTGTGTGCGCAAAACAATCCAATCAATCCATTAATTCTTTTAAACAATATATCATTTCTTTTATTATCTCACGTTAAATCATTAGACTTTTTTTATACACGCCTGTGGTGAGTATTCATTGATCTTTTCGCGCATTATGATATGAAGATAAGATTGTTATTAATCTTCTCTCTCTTTCCTGTCATCGTCTAATAGTAAAAATAAAGAGCACCAAAAATAAAAACCATCAACGAAATACCATTTTTTAATGATGAATCATCAACAAGAACAACAAATTCAATACGTGTGGCAAGAAAATCCGTTTTCCAACCGAAGACAACGAGTTCCGGTCGCATGTTCTTATTGCCGTAGAAGAAAGATAAGATGCGACGGACAGAAACGATGTGCTAATTGTGAAAGAGGAAATAGAAAGTGTGAATACGTTCCTATTGCCAAAAAGTCTGTCGACACTACCGAGAGTAATCAAAATTACCAAACAGACTCTTCTTCCTCATCCAATCCATCCAATCCCAGCAACGATGATAGCGATAACAATAACAATAACAATGCAAAAGAAGAATCGCAACAACCTCAACAAATCATTATCCGTCAGCAGCCAGCTAAACGTCAAAGAATCGACGATGGCTTACCACAACATTATCCAAGTACTGACTTGTCGCATATTTCTATCTCGTATCCAATTATTCCTCACCCCGAGCAACAACCATCCACCACTTCAATGAATTCTAACTGGCCTAATCAACCATTTACAACATACATTGAATATGCTAAATCCGAAGCGAAAATTCCCAAATCTGTTCTAGATGAATCTCGCACAATTCCGCCAGAGATCTCACAAATTTTATTAAAAGCATTCTTGAAAGACATTCATCCTTATATTCCAGTTATTGATCCGGATTTCACTCAAAATGAATTGAATCCTCTTTCCCCTCTTCTATTCTATTCAATTTGCGCAGTCTCCGCTGGATTCACGGAATATGCTCCCCGTCGAAGCATTTACTATGACAGAGCACGTTCTTTGATCGATAGTTTATTAGATAATCCAAGAGAATCAACAATCGCGGCTTTAATTCTTTTGTGCGTCTACCAACGACAAGAATATTTTCCACGGCAACATCGACAGCAACAAGCAGGAGATGATAACCAGGAACTTATAACTGAAGATGAAGAAGATGACGAAGAGTTGTTTCGTGCTAGAATGTACATAAAGACTGCCATTGAAATGGCAATGGAACTTGGTCTAAACAAAGAAAGTCAAGACCAAACTTATACGACTCCGCAAAAAGAGTCTAGGCGAAGATTATGGTGGTCATTATTCATGCTGGACACATTAGTATGTTGTGTTGCTAGAAAACCAAGCAGCATTAATCTGGAAGAGTGCAATGTAAATGAGCCGAATCAAGAACTTTCTGAATTCAATCAGCAAATTAAATTTTGTAAAATTCTCTCTCGATTCTCAATTTTAAATAGACGAAATAATTATCATTATGAACCACAAACACCCAATATTTTCATTTTGGATGCAACTCCCTGGACTATACATATCCCAAGTTCTCGTTTAAATAGCAAAAACAACAGTAATAATAACAGTAATAGTAGGACACCGAATCAATTGCATTTTACAATGCTTCGACATACTTTAACGATTCTTTTACACAAGCGAAACATTGATTCTTCATCCGATTCACTAGAAAAATGCACATTGGCGGCGAATTACATCACGGATTTAGCTGACCAACTTGTGCATTACAACGAACCATTCAGAGGTTTTTTCAACTGCACAAATTGGTGTCTATTTGAAGCAGGAAAAATTCAAGCAAGAAACATGATTAGAAATTCCAATGATGCTTCTAATGACAATACAAATGGCGACACAAATAATAACGGCGGCAGTCATGATAATAACAACGAGGATAATGCGAAAATTTACTATGCAAAAACAATTAGACAGTTTGAAGAACTACTGCAATTCAAAAAATCTGCGCTATTGGCGCAATATGCTGCTAACTTGAGACCAAATAATAACACTTCATTTGCTACTTATCCGAGTTATTCAACCACCATAACTAATCCAAACACTGCTACGACAATTCATCCCGGTACCTATATTAATTCACCCAATCCATCCCCTTCAATTCCGGTGGATGTGAATCTTAACTCGCCATTTGATGTGCTTGGCAAAGATAACGAGAGTACGATAGATGTAGTGAAATTATTTGATTCGAGCTCCTATTCATCTAACTCGCCCGTTGAATGGCCTCCGAATGACGATTATTCGACGAATTTTCATTTATCAACAACTGCAGCTGCCACAGCAACAGACACGACAGCCACCTCACAAGAGTTTCATATTTCTTCACCGGGAAGGAAGGATTCTGTATCTACGTCACCTTTCACTTCTTTTTTAAACACATCCACTTCACCGGTTACTTCCCCTTACTCGTCACATCATCACAATGTCGAATTTCATCATTACAATCAACAACAGCAAAATGATGAAGCAACTTGTGGCGGTGATTATTCTTCAACATTCTCTTCTGGATACAATAATGGACTGGGAATTTGCACGATTTGAATTGATCGTTTTTATTGTTATGATTTCGAGAAAAGATTATCCTTCATTCCCAATTTATTGTTAATCAACAAACATAGATAAAAAATTTTTTTGTATATTTTTATATATATATATTTATATCAATAAACTTGCACATATTTATATATCCCTTTTATTATCTTCTCCTCTTTGTATCTATAAAAATTATTAAAAATCATTTATTCATCTATTATTTAAATAATGAACACTTAAAAAACGCTTGCCCCTATACCGTTTTTTTCTGGAAATTCCCAACACCTTTTATGCATTTCTATTTTTATTCCTATGTTGGATATTTCTTCGGTCTTTCTCGTTTCATGTTCTCTATTTATTTATAGTTTCGGCTCATAAATTCACAAGAAAGTATTTTTTTTTTTTTCAAAAATAATTGCAAGGGGAAAAACCGAAAAAAACCGGATTTTTCTCTTTTCAAATTTTACTATATCAACAAATTATAGTGATTCATAGAAGAACGATTGTTTCTCATATCAAAAAAAAAAATATCGATATATCGCCTCTCCCTTTCATCCAGTTTCGGGTTCTACGTCGTATCTTCAACAACATCCTTCCCCAAAAAAGATCCCTCCAAATTTCGTAATTTCTCTTGTTTTTTTGTTTGTTTGTTTTCGAGTTTTAAAATAAATTATAACTAAACATATAATATGCCCTAAGATTTTTTTTTATAAAGCTTACGTAGTTTTACCACCACCACCTTCTTCTATAGCTTATATAAGACATTTAATTCTCCTCCTTCATAAAGAGTAATTAACCAACAAAATAGAAATAGCTTTGCATATCGTGTTTTTGCATTCAATTGGTATATTAATAAATTCACTTAATTCCAAACAAAATGACCAAGTTCGAAAAGTTGATGTAATTAAAGATAAAAAATAATTGTATTTGGTATTCCGTTTAGGCAACCCATTCTAAATATGTTGTGATCCATTTAAAAAAAAATCCGCGTACGATCGCTGAAAATATCGCTATCAGTCAAATACGAAGGATGGGATGGTGATGTCTTAGGTTGTTAGGTTTGTTAAAGTGATGGCTTGTTTCGTCATAAAAATGACATCACACATTCAGCTTTGGAACACATTTTTATTTAAGATGCATTTTTTTTCTTGAAAAAATTTTACTTGTTATTTGCTCATTACGAGGAAGACAGCATAAACCTTGTATTTATAAAGAAAAAACTCTTTGCTATTTCTTCTTCTTTTTCTTATTTTATCAAGTAATCTTTACCAATTATTATTTTAAAGACCATCATATAGAATTAAAATATTTAAAACCGTATCCTCTCAGCCACAAACATACGTTTCAAAAATACCCGACTCGTATGTATGTGTAATAAGAGAGCCGATTATGAATAAGGTTCCTTGTTTGAATGTTTCCGCGGCGGCGCAAGATTGCTATACTTTTCACACTTTTTGTAACTCCACATAAAACTGGAACTTTTCTCGTGTGATTGATTGATTCTTGTCATTCATTGTGTTATTGCATGGATTTCTAGATTTATCACCATTCTGTATACTACTTTTTCGCTTTTTTCCTCTGTGTACAATCAATGTGTTACTTCCAAATATATGCAATGCGATAGATAGTGAATAGCCAGTTTAAACTTTTTTTTATTAGGCGAGAAAACCAATCAAAAGAATTGCTGCCGTGTGATGAACGTTATTTTTTATTAGTCAATTCAGTTTGGCATTTTGGGGAATTTAACGTTAAGGTTTGTTAAATTAATTGTTGATGCATAAAAGAAATAATCAAAAGAAGGAAACAATGCCTAATGACATTCACATTCACATTAATTAAAAATCAATTGATCATCATCACAGTCTGCATGCGTAATGGTTTCTTTTGTTTAGAACAAAGAAATTATTAGAGAAACCAGAGTCCAAGAAGATACTCGGGGATTATTATTTGGCTGATATTTTCACTGGTTATTATATTTATCAGTCGAAGCAAAAGCATCAATTTTTCATATTCTTTAGGATTTATCGGCTAATTTAAATTTATTTTTACTACAAGTGACTAAAGGTAAGTAAATACGATACAATGGTTAAATTTAGAATGGTCGAAAAGTATATTTACTAAATTAAAACACAGGAGAAAACACATACACACAAGTACACAACATAACTACAAAACAAACTTGATGTTTATTCCAATCATTAAATGCGAGTTAAAAAAAAATTTGGTCTGTCTGCCTTTTTCTCTGACTCTCCATGTGTTGTTATTATTAAACATAGAACATTAAGACTTTTTCAATTTGAAAAAAATGCTATTATTGTTAATTTCTGCTGCACTGCAGAAGATGAAACTTTTCGTCTCTTTCTATCAAAAGAAAGAAAAACGTGGACAATGAAGTGAAATCAAATGGTGAATATTCCGTATTACCTGTTCGGATGATTGGTGTTCTACATATCATCCCGCATTAGTGTCACGTTAACTATTTATTTTTGAATGCAAGGCAGATGCAGATTCATCTATTAATAATACTAAGTATACGATTTTTTAATTTACTGAAGTATAATTCAAAAATTCGTGTGCTTCTATTGTGGGAATTAACATTAAGAATTGAAAATTAACCTCGATTTTCAAATTATCGTTATGTGAGCATGATTTTCTAATCTTCACTCTAACGAAGGTTCGGTCTTACGAAGATGGTAGGAAATCTATTTCTGATTAAACGAGAATCATTAATTAACTCTGTGATTTTTTTGGAACGTGTATTATTGATCAATTTAATACAAAGCGCGAAAGTTATGGTTTTTAATTATTCTTGCTTGTCTGCCAACTAGAACTACCGTAAAATGCTCTTTAAAATACCCGATATTTTATATTTCTACTGATGAGTGGGTACTTTATATAGTTATTAGCGTAGGGAGTATTTTATAAAAAACCTCTCTCAAAAGAGCGTACTTTAGTTAAAGAACAGTTTACGGTATGTCATCACTGTTCCACTTTTTGATAGTTTTCCATTATATAAGGCTCAAGGGTAGTTTGCATATGTTGGAAAACATGTTTGAGATAGCTTTTATAGTTAGTCACCTCTTGGGAAAGTCAAATAATGTGTGACTATAAAAAAAGCTTTTTTTTCTATAAACAAGAAAGGTAAATTGGGTGACTACAGAGAAGTGTGACGTATAAAGAAATAAGCTTCGATTTGATTCTTTTCAAATAGAAATTGGCGTTTGACACTGTATATAGCACCCTCCCCTGTAGAAATTTTATCTTTTAATTTAGTCTCAAATTTTTTAAGTAAAAAAGTATTTTTTCCGCTTATTAAATATTTTGCTTTGAGGCTAAATTACATTGGCAAAGTTTACTAAACGATAATGAGTTGATGTTTATACTTCCTGCATAATATATGACTGGGAGAGGCAGAACCACCATTATAAGATTTTTATTATTTCCTTGCATTTGCGTGAGTATTGAAGAGAAAGTTAATATAAAAAGGACGGGATGTAAAAAACGGCCTGCACTTCGATGGTGCATTTTGTGTAATTTAACAAAAAGCTTTAATTTATCTTACAATAAAGAACGCAATGATAATAATTAGTAAAACCTCTGTCATTGAATTCTTCTCGACATTAGAACTATTTATCGTTATATTATCGAGATATTAAAGTTGATAGAATTCAATATTTACGAAAATGCATAAATCAAAAATTCGGCATAAAAAATTCAATCTCTCCATAATTCCATAATTCCGATAAAGTCACAAATTTATATGATCATTTCGTTTATGCCGGTTGAATAAATCTTTTTTCCCAAAATTTTTTTAGCACGCTTGATATTTTGTGCCATGTCCTCAAATCAAAAGAACTCGAGCGTTTCGCAAAGCAAAGCAGGCACAAAACACGAACCAACAAATGACGCCTCTTCAGATATATCTTTTAGTTTTGACAATAATTCAGAATTAGATCCTCGTCTTTTACGGGCCTTATCAAAATTAAAATACGTTAAGCCGACGCTTATTCAAGAAAAAGCTATACCACTTGCCTTGGCAGGCAAGGATATTTTAGCAAGAGCGAGAACTGGTAGTGGTAAAACTGCTGCTTATTCTTTGCCTGTTATTCAAAAGATACTGACTGCAAAGGTGTGCTAGTTCGAAACCATGTATTTTAAATATTTGGAATTGATGCGCCATACACTCAATTAACGTCGCAAAAGATAATTTGCGCAAGTAACTATTATTAATCTTTGATCTTGTACTCTTTTTTTCTTAAGGCTACATCAAAATTAACATCGATCCACGGTTCGACGCGTGCATTGATCCTAGTTCCGACTCGAGAGCTAGCGCAACAAGTAACAAAACACATAAATGAGCTTTTGATTTATTGCTCCAAAGATATCAAAGTAGTAAATATCGGCACCAATACTCCCGTAGAACTACAAAAGTAATTATTCATTTTGATTCATTAAATGAATGCTACATTCGTCCCATATAATCATACCTTTGGGCGAGGATGTGACTATAGAGGGTGCGAGCACGACTATATTAAATTTTCTATCTACTTAATATTTAGACCCCTTCTATTAGAAGCACCTGATATTGTAGTTTCCACTCCTTTCCGCGCGGTAGCGCAACTCGAAGCACAAGTATGTATAAACATTAGTTAAATCAATTATTTTTTCTTACATTAATTGTTTAAAATTTTTCCCAGAATCTTGTTGTTCGCGAATCATTACAAACGTTAGTCATTGACGAAGCTGATCTTATTCTATCATACGGCTACGAAGAAGACATGCAAAAATTGTTGACCTTTCTTCCAAAATTCTTTCAAAGTTTAATTATGAGCGCAACATTAAGCAAGGTGACCAAAAAGAAAATCAAGCTCTATTCATGTTTCTACGGATTATTCTAATATAATTCATACTTATATTCTACGATTGCACGATGTTTAGGATGTGGAAAAATTAAAACATTGGATACTAAGGAATCCTGTAGATATAAAAGGTTCCTTTTTTCTATTATTTATCGCACATAAAGCTCTTACCTTATATATATCTATATGATTTTATTCATAGGTCACTTTAAAGCTTGAGGAAGAAAAAGACGAGCTTGATCTTCTAGCCCAATATTGTGTTTTGTATGCTTTATAATATTCAAGTTAGTTTTCTTTTTTTTTTGAATTTATACTAAATTCGAATTTTTTGTCTGGAGAAAAGATGTTCCGAAGTCGATAAATTCCTGTTGATCTTCGTGATATTAAGACTTCGCCTTATAAAAGGGAAATGTCTCATATTTGTGAATGACATTGATCGATGTTATCGGTTAAAACTTTTCTTGGAGCAGTTTTCTATAAAGAGTTGTGTGCTGAATTCGGAGCTGCCTTTGAACTCGAGGTATGACTTGATCGATTTCACATAACGGAAAATTTTCTTAGATTAAAAAAAATTATATATATAAAAATAGATATCATATCGTTGAAGAGTTTAATAAGGGCGTTTACGAGTATATTATTGCTACGGATGAAAATAATCTGAAGGGTGAAAAAGATTCTGACGATGAGCTAGATAATAATGGTGAAATGATGCCTTAATATTACTTATTAACAGCATGAATTTAAAGAATATGCTCTAAATTTTTTTTACAAATAGATTATGCAACAGATAATGATGAAGCTTCTAAAATGGAACAATCTCAAGAGTCAAATCCAAAAAAGAAGAAAAAGTCGCGTAAGAATAAACAAGACAAAGAATACGGCGTTTCGCGTGGAATCGATTTTGTAAATGTCGCAGCGGTTATTAATTTCGATTTCCCGACCTCTGCAAAATCGTACACCCATCGCATCGGGCGAACTGCGCGTGCCAATCAAAAAGGAATGAGTTTGAGCTTTGTTGTGCCTAAAAAATTAGCGGGTAAAAATAAGAATGTTTCATGCCCAACTACAGAAAACGACGAGGTATTATATGCTCGTGTCGAAAAACAACAATTGGAGGCAGGAAGAACGATCAAACCATACACGTTTGATATGAAACAAGTGGAAGGGTTCCGATATCGTGTAGAAGATGCTCTCAGGGTTGTGACGCGTATTGCTATTAGAGAAGCGCGTTTAAAAGAAGTCAAACAAGAAATAATTAATTCTGAAAAACTAAAGGTAAAGAATTCTATCCCTCCATGCAATATCGTTTTCTTTTTATATTTTCGTGCATTTAATTTCGATAATTATTTTTGAAGTCTCATTTTGAAGATCATCCTAAAGATTTAAATTTTCTTCGTCATGATAAACCCTTGCATCCAACGAGAGTCCAAACCCACCTGAAAGATATTCCCACTTATCTAATGCCACGTATAAAGACTCTTCGTGTACCTGACACCACAACTGAAGGCACTTCATCAAATGTTGGCTATGTGCCCTATCACAAGACATCAACTAATCGATACCGTAAACATAAAGGACCCAAATTTGCCGGACAGGTTTGTTATATTTAGTATTTGAAAATAAATAAACCGCGATTGACACGATTTTTTGCCTGTTCTAGAAACGAAAAAACGATCCTTTAAAGACATATAAAACTAAGAATGAAGAAAAAAGGAAAAAACAGGTACTAAGAAAATCTATAATTATTTGTTGTAACTTCTAATCCAACTAATATATATTTAAAATTATAGAAAAGAAGCTGAGTGCTACGTTAAAATCCTATAAATACTACTTACAATAAGGTAGGGAATTTTTAAAGTGCTTTATCACAATTTATAAAATTACTATATACAAGAGATTATTATAATGTCAGTCATTTTTTGTTATGTGTCTTCATGTGACGTGTCACCTGATCGGGACGTGAAAATTTCTTATTACATGTCTCTATTGGACATTTGAATGGACGTTCGCCAGTATGTACACGCATCTATGAATAAAAATGAAAATAAATACACTTTTCTATAATTAGAAATTATTATAATAATCACATACATGTTTGGTAAGATTCGAAGATTCTGCAAATCGTTTATTACAACCTTCATGTTTACATTTGAATGGTTTCTCGCCTAAAAGCATACGCACAAAGCTATCAACATGAGTTATGCATTTAATATATGTCAACTTTCTATAAAAAGTTAGTTATACCAAGTTTATTGTACTCATATAACGAACTTGTAATAAAGTTCGTCATATCCCATAAAAAGGTTGATCGGAGTTGACTGCAGTGTGTGAATAAATAATATAATATATATTTACCTGTATGAACCCGTAAATGAATTGTTAATGCCCCAGAAATCGAAAACTCTCGATCGCAACCTGGTATTGGGCATTTGTATGGGCGCTCTCCTGTATGAGTTCTCATATGTTGCGTCATAATATTAGGCTCGGAAAAACGCTTTTTACAAACTGTACATTGATATGGCTTATCTCCTGAAATTTCCGAGTTATAATTTAAAATACTAAATTCTTATTTAACTGCAGTCGCACCTCGTTCTAATCACAGGACTATAACGAGGATGTGACTATTAAAGAGGTGATTTTTATAATGAAATGGGGATTTCTAAACGCGGGACTATAACAAGGTTGTGACTATATTGAGTGTAGCTATAACGAGGTGCGACTGTGCATGAAATAAAGATAAAAAAACTCTTACCAGTATGAGTTTGTATGTGTCGCATTACTTTTTGCCGTTGATTAAATGGTCTACCATTACGACTACATGATTCCCATTGGCAGACATATTGACTTCGTCCTGAGCCAATATGACTCTCGCTCACATGAGCTGTCAATTCGTCAAAAGTTTCAAATCGTAGAGAGCATCCATCCCATTTACAACAATGTTGAAACTGACGCGTATTCAAATGATCTGAGCACACGTGTTCTATCAATTCATCACGTCCTTCCTTTTCCATTGAACATGAGGCCCAGAGACAGAGATTACCTTTACGCCTTCCAGCTACATGGAATTTTGAAAGATGTGGAACTAATTCATCTATTGAACTAAATACAGCGGCACAAGTCGACCAAAGACAACGCATCTCATCACTAGTTTCATCGAACAAAGGATTTTCTTTTCGGTTAGTGTTAATTGTTAAGTTGAAAGTTGATGGGGTCTCAGAGCTAAAATCATCTGAAATCGAATCATCTGAGAAAGAATGTGGACTAGGATTAATTATGATTCCGTTCCGATCGTCCCGAATCACTTCTACATCTGATGACGATGGGAATGTGAATGCTGATTGTAACGATTCAGTTGATGTAGTATTATCTTGGTTAAGTGAGATCTATGCGAAATTATTAATCAAAAAAAAACACACAATAATTAATCGAAAGATAAAGAGTTAAATAAGCTAAAGAGAATAAACATACAATGCTAGATGAAATGTTTTCTGTTTCATTACTATTTATTATTGGTGACGCATGATTAATTGGAGACATTTGTTCGTGATTTTCATAACATGCAAATATTGCCGAAAGATGATGATCTGAAGATGTCTCTATCCCATTTGATAATGGAACGCGTGTTGATTGGGGCTGACCAAAGGTAGGAAGTCTCGAAGCTGACGATCCATAGTCAAAAATTTGAGAATATTTAAAGCTCGAAAACGAAAACCTTTGAAGTTCAGAATCTTCTATCACAAATCCATCAGCACCATTCTGTTTAGTTGTCGCAGCTTCGGCAGCAGCCACTGGACAGCATTCCGTGCAGCATTCTCCGGCGATAGCGGTGGAAGGTGAAGATGTTGATGGAGTCATCAAAATATCAGAAGATTGAGTAAATTGATTGAATGAAGAGGTGGGTAATTGTGATGTTGAAAATTCTGTTGATGAAGATAAATATGAACTAGAGAAATCATTACTAGTCCTTGTAAGTTCAGTTTGAGAAGTTGGTTTTATTATTGTTGATCCACCAAATAATTCACCATGATTTTGTATTTGTGTGGAATTAATAGTGGTAGTGGTGGTAGTATTAGGATTATTAGACATTATTGTCCGATGTTTTGAGAGATTGGAAGCAGAAACGACCACTGCATCTTGTGGTTGGTGGCTTGCTCCAGCAAGATAAGGTATACTAAATCTTTGCTGTGTGATGAATAATTCAATGAGTCTTACTCTAAAGTTCGATAGAAAAAAAAATATTTCTTTATACTCACCTCCATGTACTATTTTCACCAAGATAATACGTAGAAAATATATTAACTAACGAAATAACTATAATAAAGTCTAATAAATTAAATAAGAATCGAGTATATCGATATCAAATTCTGAAATAAAAGAACCGCATCAGTTATTTGAAGGGTAAATATTTATAACAAAAAATAGAAACCGTATCGGTTATCGAAAGGCAAATATTTATAAAAAAAAGAACCGCATCAGTTATCGAAAGGAAAACTTTTACACAGCAAAATTGTGTAAGCATAACAACCACCACCAGAACCACAACATCTCACACTGATTAATTATGGTAACTGCCAAGTAAGCATTGGAAGTTTCGGAGTAAAATGCCAGCAATCTAGCAAAATGGCGGTGATTTATTTTTATGACGAAGGAGAATGATTATGAACATGCACATGCCTGTTCAGATCATGAAGCATAGAATCTCATTTGATATTGATTAAAACCTATCGTTATTGGCTTGACTCCGGAAAAGGAAAATGTACAAATTAATCTGCGGGTAATATCATAATTGAATTTACTCCAAGTAAGAAGCAACAAAGTATAGGATTTGCGTGCGTACGTTGATGATTGAAACGGCAAAAATAGCGCAACGGCCAAAATCACGCATTCTCTGGAGGTTTAAGTAGGCATAAATCGCGCATATTCATTTATCTATACTAATAGTAATTGTTTGTATTACAAATCAATCAAATAATGTTTTAGTGACGTATATCGTTTCAATGTAAAACTAATTACCCGTAAAGTCCCGAAAATAAGCAACCCCGTGATGTTGCCTTTTAGTAATTAATCTTATTTATCACCTATATTTTTATTATATTAATTGTCACGTGCTTATAATAAAATATTATTCGTCATAGGGTGTTCGTTCGTAATAAAAGGCGCAATGCATATGTCCTTATACAGTCGTCACAACCTTCTCTAATCCATGGCGAAAAATGCTCGGCTCATGTGATTTTGAGGGGTAAACCAATAAAATCGAAGAAATGAAAAATTTCGCAAGGAATATTTTTTGGCAAAATTTCGAAATACAAAGCTATTTTGATTGGTTTACCCCTTAAAAATCATATGACTCACCCGAACATTTTTTCGCCATGGCTACCAAATTACCGAGAGTTATCGTTATCTACACTAAGTTGATTCCCGAATATTCAGATCATTATAAAATGCCCATACCCCATAGTGATAACGATTCCATATCCACGTGGGAACCCGTTCAAACTTGCAACATAATTGTCTAAAATAATTATTCTGTTGTTTTTCTTCCTGCTAACGTTAACAAGTTTTAAAAAGACCTATTTCTATATCAAAAGTGTTAATTGACTATTAATATGTTATAAAAGATTTTTGATTTTTATTGTCTATAATAAATAGCTTGTACCGCTCTGTTCAAATAATAACGTTAATTGGCGCATTCATTTCATTATTTATTTTTTTAGACACTTGAGACATTGTGACATTAACCTCTAAACAAGACACGTAATCAAGAAATAAATTAATTTCCGGTGAGGTTTTTCATTATATTGCTACATTATATCCGACGATTAAAGATCACGAGATTCATTCATTGATTAAAAATGTGTGATTGTCATTAGATATTCTACGAAAATGTCGACAACCCAAAAACAAAATTCAATTGAAAAAAAACGAATTCCACATCCACCAAGACAAACAAGAAAATTCAAAAAGCATTATAGAGAAGGCAGAGTATTTCATTTCTTTCCGGAAGAACCTTGCAGCTTTGCAGATTTTCTTGGTGGCACCGAGTACACACTCTCGCGAGATGGAGATACATTTACTCGTGTCGTGAAATTTTTCAGAGACGCGATCACAAAAGTCGAGATACAAGAGAAGATGGAACACTTTTCCCTGGTAGTGATCCAAGATCGAGAAAGAGGTTTTGTGGTTACGATTACAGAAGTGTTTAGAAAACCGCCACGAAAAGCATTAAATTGCCTTTCATGCGATACGGAGTCCGAAACGAATAAGATTTCACGATTGGAATATTCATTCACCAAAAGCATCACCACCACTATCACCTCAACTAGTAATGACGCTTTAAATACAACTACAACTAGTGCTACAACTAGTACTACAATTACCACAAAAAATATGCTCCATAATATTTGGCTTGACGCTAAAGCACGAAATATGTTTGTAGTTACGCCAGTTCGTCATATTGAGCGTCTTTCAGAATGTACTGATGAGGAAATATTCGAGTTGTTTCATTTTGCTGTTCAGCTGATTGGCGAAGAAACGAAACTATCAAATTCTCATTGGGCGGGATTACAATTCGAAAAAATGACATTGAATCATGGGAACGCAAGGAATCTTGAACATCTTCATTTAAAAGTTAGGATTAAGGAAAGTCAATTTGATTGGTTTAGAGAACATGGATGGGATGAGGACAAGAAAGAGAGATTTAGACATCTACAAGGAAACCTTTATTTTAATGACGAAAGAATAAAGAAAATAAAATGATAATAATAATTTAATAAATAAACTCTTTTTTGGTAATTATTATAATCACCACAAAACTTTTTTACCTTAGTTGTAAAATTAATAATGAAGCAATAACATTAAATTTATTAAATAGGCGTTGATAAACCGAATTTTTAAAATTCGTTCCACTACTTCATTATATCAAGGTTATACTTCATGTAATAAACTTCGCAAGTACCATTTATATAGTGGTGTTAATACTTGAGACGGAATATAGTAAGTTTTGCGAAAAAAAATTCTAGTTCCTCTATATCAAAAATATACCTGGTTCCTAAACTAAAGATCTAACGCTAATTAAGCGATCTACACAGGGACTCTCACATGATATACTTCACGAATGTTATATATTTATTGAAATTATGCATGTATCAATCAATTGATATTTTTATTGTTTTTCCAAGTATTTACAAAGACTGAATTGTTATTTACTTTTTAATAATCTGATACTTCAAATTACGGTGAGTGCACGCACGATAAATAACATGATCAGGTAAGAGAATTTGTGTTATTATATCGAGATGTTATTATAAATACAACGAAAACATATCAAATGATGAGAGATTTGGTCTAATTATAATGAGATGTTATCTTAAAGAGCGTCACTTTAACGAGCTCTCACTATATTTAACATTAGTACTGTGTGATCGACCAATCAAATCGCGAGCTCGTGTGTCACGTGTATCGCGCGAAAAATATCGTTTTACTATATAAAGTCAAATCTCCATAAAAGAACACTATTGAATCATTTAAATTATGTTCTAATATAGAGATGTTCTTTATAGAATTTTATAATTATTAATATTATAAATAATTATTTTTATTAAATATTAATACTATTAATAAAATATTGATTGATTATTACCTATTTTTTTTGATTTTTATTGTATTGTTTTATAATTATATAATCTTTTTCTAAGTAAATTTAGTTTTTTTTATATCAAAATTTTCTTTTACCAATTGTCCTTCATAATTTAATAACTTTGTAATGTATTATAAGCTTTTATAATTATAATTACAGTAATAATCAAAAGTAATAACTCAGAAGCTAAATTTATTAATAAAACATAATGAAAATTAAAATTTTCTCTCTATATTAAAATTTATAATTTTATTAAGAAATAATTTTTATTTTTATATTAAA